AAATTTATATGGCTTTCCTTGTACTTTATGGGCTTTGCAAAGCTCGCATGGTATTGTGGTAAAATATACAGCCACCATCTTTTCATTCCTGTGGACACTAGAACAAGCTCTCAAGGTACAACTATTCTTTCAACAGACAGCACCAACCCAGATTGTTTCACTGTACCAATGGCTGTGCTGGTTGAAATGTGTTATGGAAACAACAAAGCAACAACACAGTTACCTGGCCCATCAAATACACTTGCTGCAGGGCCTACAGTTCCATGTCCAATGAGCCTGTTAGATTCACTCACTGTGCATGCAAAAATGAGGTATAGCTCTTCAAGTATTACATGGATGATTAAAGGTCTTGTTAAAGATTTTAGCCCTATAAATTTGATGGTGTCTTTGGGTGGCATGTTGGTCTAATGTTAATCAAATCAGACTCTGCATCTCAGAGCCTGGGTTAGATCTATTGCTTGCCAGCCAATTGCAGGGATCTAGTTACAAAAGTTGTAATTGGATAGCTGTTATTGGACACCCATGTGATTGCACGCCAAAGGGACAAATAAGTGCCCCTGGAAAACCAATCACCAATTTTGTTATAGATACGATGAAGGTGATTCCTTAGTATTGCATTGCGCATCCCTACTGCCCACGATTTTCGGGTCATTAGAGCACGCACATGAGCATGTGTGCGTACAAAAGAGATTTCCCTCAAACTAAGCTCGATAGCAAAATAAATGCTCCTTTTCTCTTTTTAAACGAGCACGGTGACCCCCACTTTTTATTTCATAATTTCAATGAGAACAATATCCTCAATAATTGAGAAAAAAAATTAGCAGAAATCTATGGCTACTTTTTTGGCAAATGAAATAAATACTACAGAGGGAGACATAACGGGCCCAACAACGCATGTCCAAATTATGTTTCCTTTAAAGGTTCAAAAAAATGAAGGGTATTTGAAGACATTTTTTGTGGGACGTAGATGAATAAACAATCAAAGAAATTCAAACTCTTTGTGATATAACACGCTGCATTGAAATATAATCGAGCTTATTTGTTGCTCATGGATATTACCAAAAGTCACCTTAATAACCATATTTGGCAGCATTGTGGCGTGAAAACAAGCATGGTGACCCCCTCTTTTTACTACGTTTTTAATATCTCCTTGTCCTGTAACAACAGCATAACAATTTGCATCAGAAATCTATGGCGGGTTCTTTTACTAGGGAATCACCTTAAATAGCCAATGTATCATTGCCAAATCTAGAATCTACAATTTATTGAATTATTTTTGTCCCTGTAGATGGTTATTTGCCTAGTGCTATTCAACTTGTGCGATTTCTACGTGTTTTCATCGGACAGAATAATCTAAGAGAATGTAGATAGCAGGCATGCACCTTGCTATTTTGAGAAAGATACCTGATTTTTGAATGTTGTTGCGCAGCACTTTATTCCCAGGCATCCATTTATTTTATTGTGAGGTCACTGAACAACAATGCACCAAAAATTCACGAAGACGTGATAATTGTAACAAACACCACTTGTTACAAAGCTAATGATAGATTTATCATGGGGCACTGGGAATAGTCCACTCCAGGCCACCCTCTCTTGGTTATGGTGCATCCTCAATTCTTATATCTGAAACTTGTCCGTTCTGTAAATGATTTGGTACGCCACTGTCTTAAATCAGTGTTTTCTGTTCAGTTTCATTCACAGCATTGTTAATCGTATCATCAAGTTAGGCAACACACCATCATCTTTTGCTCTGGCCCCAGCATTGGTGGAAACTTACAGTCGCCTGCTTGTCTATATGGAAATTGAGTCACTGGGAATCAAAGGATTCATTAGTAAGACTGATCATAAACATTGTTACTTTCCAATTAATTTAGAAATTCTCCCTTTTGGTGACAATAATGATAATGATAGTGATAGTGATAGTGATAGTGATTCCATGTGGACATGTTCAAATGCGCATTTAAACTCAAATTATATAAAACTAAAGACACAGCGGTGTATGAGCTCTGGATTAAGAAGTCCAATGTTTGGGATTTGTCAGGTCCTGGTCATAGTTTCAGTGTTGGAACAGGTATAAAATTACTCGAGCGCAATTTGTTGGAACAATGCTAAGAGGTTGCTAGTGACAGACAACTAGCAATCAATGTAAGGGAAATAACAATAGTCCTGGTGACTTCATGCTGCAGAAATTGTACTTAGGGATAATGGTGACGTGGAGGTTTGAAACCCTTTTAATAGGACTTGAAATTTGCGATCTGAGAACTTTGCGATGCAAAGATCTCATTTATTTTTTATGTCAAGCAATAGCTCTTTTCACGGTTAGGTTTTCTCATTTGCATTACAATGTAATCCAACATGGATGCGAGGCAACTTCAGGCTGAAACTACAACATGTCCCAGAATTGGCTTTCATACATGATAGATTACATTTGTGATCTGAGGACTTTTATAGGAATAGAAACTTTGAGGTGACTTTTTGAAGGTGCACTGAGAAGTCAGAGAGACTTGGAGAGGGGGATAACTAATTTTGCAACCCAAAGTTCTCATTATGTATGTCAAGTTAATGGGACACTTTCATTCGCAAATGTGATTTAAATGCAAATAACATGGAGGCTTCCTTTGTTACAGTACTGAGGAAAAAAGGAGTTTTGCATGCGGGGTTCTGTTCTGAGTCATTGTCTTTCTTGGGTCTGGTTTTAACCTAATAGGACAGTTTTGGTATTCTAACTTAGTGGCTTGATGCGCACCTTCCCGTCACTTATCTACATAAGTACACCTCCCCTCCACTGCTGCAGAAAACAGAGTTAAAACTTACTGATAACTTACTCTGCAACGCATTATGACCCACTTAGCCGTGTGCAAGCGACACGGTGTAGTCTTTTATTCTTTCATTGTGGTCAAAATTCCTTTAAACTGAGATCATGTAAAAGAATGAGATGAAGTGATCAGATTGTTTGTTTGTACTATCTGCAGGTTCCTTGCTTCCCAATGTGTTCAAGAGTCATGCTTGGGGAATTCTCCACACATTGCTCGAGATGTTCAGTTACCGTCTGCATCACATTCAACCTCACTACAGAGTGACCCTGCTCTCTCATTTACACTCGCTTGCTGCCGTGCCACATACAAACCAGAATCAGCTTCATTTGTGGTAATTTACTCTTGATTTTTGACTAATTCTCAGGGAACAGTTAAGGCGGGGGTGGGGGGTATAGTTAAATGTTACATTGTTGATACGATTTGGCGTTATTCTCTTGTTAGCTCGTGAAGGTTTCAGGCAGTCTTAAAATGCCGTCATAATTTAACAGCTGAAGGACCTGTGGACTTTTATACATTTTTCGGAAGATTTGTCAGAATTATATGTATGAAAAAGAAGAAAAGAACGGGGAATTAGAGGTAACTGAAGTAAATGAGGAAAACTGAGGATGTAATGAAGATTGGGTCCTGGTGGTTACCAATTCACAAAACACAGGAGACATTTACTTCCGGCTGAGGAACTAACCAATAGAAACGTTTCGGTAACCTAATTCATGCACACTGTATGAGCGTTCAAAAAAAGATTGTGCACGGTCGTGGACATTCCAACATAAATCTTGTCATCTTTGTTTGCTCCTGTGAAGTTTGCCGGGCTTCATAACTATTCCCCTCTATTAACTACGGCAAGACGCATGAAACAGTAACAACCCGTGTTTAAGAACCTGCACTTTTTGAAGTCTGGCAAAATAGTTTCTTGTATTTTGGGGTACTTATTGACAATTTAGGCTAAATAGGATGTTATTAGGTTCTTAATTTCTATGAAGGAGCTCGAGATATAGTTGTCGATTACCAGAAAAATAAACTTTGGTCCTTAAATATATAGTTTTATTCACAACTGTATTATGAGAAGACTAACACAACTGATTACACAATGTATAGGAAGTGTTACCTCTAAAACAAGAGTTGGTAATTTAATTGTTTAATTAATTAAACAATTTAATTAATTTAATTTAATTGTAACCCACATACAAGAAACTTCTTGATCTTGCTTGGCTAAACAGGTTCTTACATCTTTGGGTTTTAGAATGGCAAATTTCTGCCAGCAGGTTCTTAAACCACTAGGTTCTTACACAGGGGTTTTTTTACTGTTTCTGATGATGGTGATTCTTGTACATCCAACAGTGTTGAGAGCACAGCCCTCAGGCTTATCACAGGATTAGGAAGCTCTGAAGTACAGCCACAACTGTCTCGCTTTAATGCTGAACCAAAACAGGTGAATAACAATAACCAAACTCTAAGAGGATCCTTGAATTGGGATCACATTGAAGTATTTTCTTTCATGAAGTGACAGTCTTCTTGTGGGGGTTACATATTTGTCTCTCAGTTAATCAACTCAAGACGCAGACGGGAAAGAAGATTCTATATATGATATATTTACTCTAATGTGAATCTTCCAAAGTTGACGTCAAGGTAGGTCTGTTCATCCTTCCATGAGAGACATCTACGAAAACTACACTGTATATCTTAGCTGTGTTTTACCGTGTTTGTAGTCAAAGTTGCACAAACCTTGAATTAGTAAAGAAAATAACTTCTATTTCAGATTTCTTTAGATGTTTTTAATATATCAAAAGAAAACCTAAATATAAATGACGGAATTAAAAACCTAAATGAAAATCACCAAATTGCCATTGAAATTGAGTCTTTACAAGAAGTAAGTCTATTTACAAATGAGTATTAGCAACGTTTTGTGTGAAGGTTTAGCACTTTCTGTTAAAGGGAGTGGTAAAGTTTCAGGCACATACTTGCAAGAGAAAAAATGCACCAAGAACCTCATTTTGTGGTCGTATTGTTAGGATAAGATATTATGTCTTTGGCAGTGCAATGATATGCTAATAACTATTAACATTGTTGTGAATTAATTTGCTTTCCCAGCTTTTGTCTGCTGAATCTGAGGAACTCAATCGAGCCCTTGTATTGACCATAGCACGGGCTATGCATATAACTTGTAAGTAAGCTCATCGATTAACATTCTATTCATGCTTTAGCATGCATCACTGAGCTATGACGCACGCCGGCGAGAAGTTTGGAGAGCAAGGAAGAAGCGTAAGAGTTGCTCGAAGCGCAGCCGCAACCATAGCTTCTTGAGTGCTCTCCAACCTACCCAAGTGCACTATAACCTGATGATGCACAGTTAAATTATGACTCACTTATTTTATAGCATTGCCAATGGAAATAAATTTCTCTAGCTAACCAAAGTTAACTTTCTCAGGCCATAAGCGTGCATAATTGGATTATGAAGCATGCTTGCATATACTGAGTTTTGCTAGCTATGCTATAAAGACAGTTAATGTTTTCCAGTAAAGGTGCAGGCAGACCTGTCACACCACTTTGGAAGAGACTATATCAGCAATTTTAACTGCGTGCTGGATTGTAACAGTTTCAAACAAGATTGTGTTGTTGACGTGTTTGTTACGGAATACGACAATATCTTTGTACCATCTTAATCTAGATTCTGGGCTGCTTTTTTTTTTGGTAATATCACAAAATTGTTTATTTGTTCATAGCTGCAGAATCGAGTGTAAACTGGTATGAAGGAATTCTGAGAACTCTGATCACCAATACTCCACACAGGTATGTAAATAGTGACCATCCTACCAGGCTAAGTTTTATTGATCAAAATACATTTGAAAACATACACGCAAGTGAGAACTACGTATCTGCTTTTTGAAAAGTGGGAATCATTTCAGAGCGATTATTTCTTTTCGCAAAGCAAATTGTAACTATAGTAAGCCAGATTTCAGAGTGGTAATCTAATTAGTTCAGAGTCAGTTGTCTACTCTCCAGACTCTATTACCAGATTCTAATATCGGTGCCATGATCTTTTCCCGTCTGGTCTTGCTGCCCAGCTGCCAGAGAAACGGTCATCTAACCCTGAGGTCGTGCCTTCCAATTCTACCGGAAGGAAATACTTGGGTTGATTTCCAGCACTCCAGATTAATTCATGTAAATCTCTTCTTTCCAGCTTCTATGAATTCCCTGATCTGCTTTCGTGTTAATCTATTTAGCCAGTTGGTCAGTCTACCAACTAATACCAGAAGCATATGTGATATGCTTCTGCTAATACATAATTAATTGGCTACACGACCCCTCAAGCATGTAGTGCTTAAACGATAATCGTGTTTTAAATAAAGGATTTTACTTTACTTTACTTTACTTTACTTTACTTTACTTTACTTTACTTTACTTTACTTTACTTTACTTACCAACAAGGGCTTTTTGTTCTTTTTGTGTTCTTAACAGCATCTCCATTTAGAAAAGCATTGTTCAGTCGGAAATTGTTTTTGACGATGCTGCTCATCACATGACGTTCGTTTCTTTGTTTTCTTATTAGCTGGGCAAGCCACACTCTGGCGTGTTTTCCTCTACCCCTTCGGCAATTTTACACGCAAAATCCTTGCCCTCACGAAACTAAGCAGGCACTGAGACAAAGAGTGGAAGACGAGTACAGAAGATGGAAATGTAAGTGTATTTTGTATATTTGTCCTCTCTATGAGGTGCAGCACTTGAATCTCAATACTTTAAACGTTATAACCGTGAGAATGACTCCTTTGTCGTTGAAAAGCAAACCATGCGAGTGATTAGTAAGAGATTGTGGACCGAAAGGGAACGAAACACACAAACATTGCTGGCAAGTCCCCGTTCAAAGTGGCACCTGTATTCAACAGTGGCAAGAGAGCATGAAGATAAACGAGTTAATCCTTCATATAGACCTTGTGCTCAAGGTAATCCCTCTAAAATTATATTTAACTTTAGTATCTGGTCCTCCTGCGGTTTGTGTTACCATGCGTGTTGCGTAGATGTTTTCGTGGAGGATAAAGGAGCTCAGTCACAGCATTTTGGGTTACTTTGGCTGCGTACAAAATTCCCTTTAAATTGAAGGAAACCTGTTAAATAGTAGGTTCCTAAGATAGAAAAACACTAAAGAGATAATAATAAAGTGTAAAGGAACAAGAATTGTAAAGGATGGAGAAGACTGGCATGGATTACAAGCGACGAACTTGCTCCATCTGAGTAAAACTCGCGTCACATGATTGGCTTTAAGAGAGATCATTGTAGAATAAACCCTTTATGGTTAACTCTCTTGACAGTAGCCACATAGAGAAATCCAGATTTTTCACCAGGAAACTGGTAGTGAAAATACACAAGTACTGACTGAAGAAATATATCTTTATACTTTCAGCAATGACATCAGAAACTGAAATATTCAATCATTTTGCGGATCCCTCCTCGACAAATGTTTTCATTTGGTAAGCAATGCCATTTTTATTTGGAGATTGATACTGTATGATTAGATTGACCTGACAGGGACTGCAGGAACATGTAAGATATCAAAGACCTTATCAAACATGAAGGACTGAAGGAGAGTCTTCGAGAATTGAGGGACGAGAAGTTTAGTGAGAAGAAAAACATGTTGATCTGGAAGGACACACACTGTAGGTTGTGCATGGTTCAATCAACAGCGTAACAGGAGCTAGGAATAGATTGTGAGTGCATAAACGTTAGCTTTAGCCCATTGTCACCTGAGAGATACAGATGACATTGCTGTTAAATAACTGCACATTGAAAACGCTGATCGGTGAAAAGCATTTCTTTCTTGCAGCATTTTGTGGAAGATGTTACTGGAATCAAGCCGTCTTAACCCAGTGTGTCACAAGTAAGTCTGCACGCTTTGCGCGCCTTTGATAATCATTTCCACTTACCCAAACTGGTTAGTAGGGCCTTTGATGTTATATAAATGTTGTTTTCAACTGTCCTGATTAAAATGGTCATATCTCCTTTCTGCGTTTTGAATGTTTTAGCTAAGGTTTTCACAGTTAAGATATAAATATTTTTAGGCACTGTATATTTATTCCTAACAAACATTTTTATGAACTTTTTGTACTCAGAGTTCTGGAACGGCTAGGTGCTCGTGCACTTTCTGCTCATGTGCGAGTGTTTGCTGATTACTTGGTATATGAGTTTTCTACATCTGTAGGAGGAAAACACGTTAGCAAGGTGTGAAGGAGAAAATAAAAGTAAAATGATAATATATAAAAGTAAAATGATAATATATATTTGCTACATTATTACTTCAGCGACAAGTGAGACGTGCCTGCAGGGAATCATGGTAGTTGTATTCGTCAAAACAAAATATTCAGTCCAAGATAATGAATACAACTACCATGATTCCCTGCAGCGTCTCATAGAGGGAACTGGGCATCACTTTGTTGTCAACTAATGCTCCATCTGCTGTCAACTGAAGTTTCAATCATGGCTGGCTGATGAAATTTACAGTTATGGTGGTCGACCTTGTTAAATTAGTTATCACATGTAATTGTATTATTGTCTAAAATGCTGCTCTGTTTCTCGTACACAGTGCATTACACACCTTAATGACTTGATATGGAAGTACAATGTGGTTACTTTGGACAGACTGGTTCTCTGTCTGGTGAGTGCAGCTGCCGTCTTCTTTTAAATGAGGTTCTCTCATATTCTTAATAAGTGTATATGTCTCTTAATAAGTGTATATTTCTTGGCAACATTTAGATTCTCACGTTCGTTACTCGTTCGTTTCTGTTTTTGTTAAGTTTCCTCATAAACGAAACGGTTTAGTTTTGGCTTCAGGGCTGAACTATTTACATAGAGGCGATTGCATCCAAGCAGAGTAAAGTCCGTAATTGGCAACGTAAACATGGGACGCTTTTAATTAAACCAAAAGTTTCGGAACTTTCGAAATGGGAGTAAATGGTAAAGAAACTTCCTTGGGGAGTTTCCGGAAAATCCGAAATTGTTCAATTTTCGAGATGCGAACCATTAAACCAAAAATTTCGAAAATTGCTAGAGGAAAATTAAATGGAACGGAAATTCCTCGTAAGAAATTTTCGAAAGTTTGGTTAAACCTTGCGATGCCGTCCGCTTGTCCGGAAATTCTGGAAGATACTGTTCCATTCGTCACGGGAAATTTCTGAAAGTTTCAAACCGGAAATTTTGGTGGAATGGAAAGCGCCCTTTTTCTAGCCAGACAAACAAATTGGTGAACATATGTTGTTCACATGTCGCTAAAATGATTCGTCAACATTATTTAACTTGATAGTAATGACATTGTGTTTTCTTAGGCTTTGCGCAGCCATGAGGGAAATGAAGCGCAGGTTTGCTTCTTTATCATTCAACTGTTGCTGTTGAAGCCGCACGAGTTCAGGACTCGAGTGAACGCTTTCATACGCGAGGTAGGTTTATGCATGTACGTGGTTTCAGTTGTACTGGAAACTTCAAACAGGTAAAATAATTAGTACCTGGCCTGTGAATACAGTCTCATCCCTCGCTCTCGGGCACTTTGGAGGTTTGCTTTAGGCGTTCACGAGAGTTCTCTCTTGCAAAGCCCTTAAAGGAGCTCAGTCACGGAATTTTGAGTTATTTTGGCCACGTACAAAGTTGCCTTTAAGTTGAAAAAAGCTTGAAAATTGTGGTTAACTAATTAAGATAGAAAAACACCAAAGAGATAATAACAAACCATAAAGAAACAAGGTTAGTTAAGGATGGAGAAGATTAACACGGATTGCAAACGATGAACTTGAAAAATTTAGACTAAACTTTTCAAGATGCACAAACCGTGACGTAGTTCCTTTAAACGGCCGGAGGCAGTACGAGGCGAGAGGAACATGAATTCGCAAGGTAGGCATTGTCCAAAGTTATAAATATTGGACATAGAAATCACAGAAGCGACTACTGATAACTTATAACCTAATTTGAAGTTGATTCTAATCTTGGGCGAGGTTAACCTTGCATTAAACAACCAGGCTCTGGTTAGTCATTTTGACTTTCATCTTGTCTAGAGGTCGGTTTGAATGTTGTTATCCCTTTCTTTGTAGAACTCTCCTCAACACTGGCTACAGAATGAATGGCATCAGAAACACATGGCATACCACACGGTAAGCGTTTGAACCGTTTGTTAATCAGTCTCTGTGGCTCACCCCCTGGGTATAATGACTCAGCCAGCAGTCATCAGCCAATTGAAGAAACACTATAGGATTACTTTTACTTCAAATTGTACCGGCAAACAGATACACGTGAACAGATCGAACAGTTTTGTGACTACCATGAGTGACAGTCATTTAAGTCTGATCTGTTTACAAGATTAGAGGGAATTTTGGTTGAAAAGCAGTTTAAGTTCCGAGGGATACCTAATGGAATTTAAGTTGATATCTCTGTCTTTAGAAGACGATTTCTTGTTGGAATTGTAGATATTCGTTCGGAATATGAATTACAAACGATTAGAAGCGCTTTTATAGCTCACGCAATACTGTAATTTAAAAACGTCCAACCGCGCACTGACGTCATAATTTCCCATCAAGCTTTGCAAAAATAAACATGGCGGCGCGTGGAAAATTTGAAATCCAAGTATGGCGTAAGCGAAACGCTGAGTATTCAAAACAGACAAATAATTATCGACCCAAGATTCCCTTTAATTTATCCCCAAATGTTTCGAGAACAAAGATAAATTTTCTTTCAAATATTCCACTATGGCAAATGCGACAAAGGAAAGTTGGAGACCTTGGAACCTTCCCTAATGCTGTCTCGCGCACTTAGGTTTTAGTCTCCATTTGAAGTTCAGAAAGCTAATTGCCGGGTATTTCCAATTTCTTGCTATTGTAGTCACAAATGATGCTGGCAAATAAACAGAAAATTAAGTATCGTAGGCACGCAATCCACGCAAAGGGCTATTTTGCTCACAAATTGTGGACCTTTGATGCTGGCAAATATAAATTGTCAGTCAGTGGTAACACGCCATGTAAATTGATTCAACTCTGAACTACGTCTCGTTAAATGGTTTTCTTCCAGAGCTACCCTGAGAGATTTTATTTTGAAGGACTGTTGGAATCTGCTGGAGCGTTAGCCTCTGCACCAACAGTGCAATACCTGCCCATCTACTTTGGTAATGTGTGTCTAAGGTTTTTACCGGTAAGTGCATTTCATTCACTGCCGCTTTCAACAACTTTTCCTTGCCAAGCATGGCTTGATCACTTCAAAGATGAGTTTCTTGTATTTGAGCGTCACTTCAAAGTGTAATTCTAAATGTGACGGGTATTTATTTTCTCATCTATTCATTCGTTAACCAGAGTAATTCTAACACGTTAGATGATGCAAAATGAGAGTATATTTGATGCAATCTGACATATGCAGTCGAACTTCTATCAAGCGGTCACCCCCTATAAAGCGGCCAGTTATCAAAGTCCCCCAATTATTGTCAGTAAAATACTGTAAATAAACCCTTCTTGATCGGCCACCTCTCTCAAGTGGTCGCGACCACCCGTTGTGGTCGTCTCGATGAGGGTTTTGACAACTTTATTTAAAGAAATTGAGAATCTCAGAATCCAAGACCAGTTTCAGTGGCTTGTTTGTTTTTGTTTTCGAAGGTATTCCTTGACTTGCTGTTCATGTGTGTTTAGGTTTTTGACATTGTCATTCAACGTTTCTTGGAGCTCGCACCAGTGCACAAGTCATTGGAAAGTCTTCTTGATCATCTTGGCTGCTTGTACAAGTTCCATGGTTTGTTTAAATAACCTTTTTTATAACAAATTAATGTTCACTCATTTTATCCTGGGCCGGGTTGCTCGAAAGCCGGTTAACGCTAAGCCAGGATTAAAAGTTAACCGAAGAAGTAATTTTTCGGGTATAAAAATGTTTTTCACTTCTTTTATCTTGTGTAGGTTGAGATTACTCACGCTCGAAAGTGAAAGACAAACAATTTAAACAGGAAACCTCACCGAAAACGGAAAAGTTACAAACCTGAAATTAAAATTCTCGCTAATCCTGGGTTAGCTTAACCGGCTTTGAACAACACGACCCTGGTGATTAATCTGTCAAACACGACGGGATGTCAGGCGGAATTGAAACGTATTCTCTGTACCATGGCAGATGTTTTTCTAGTCTCTGGCATTATGTTTTTTGTTATTTAATATCAGAAATGAATGTTACTGGCTCTCCTTGAACATTTTATCATTTTTTACTATCTCACATGCCTGTTTGTCGATGTTTTGTTCGTAAGATCGCCTTATAACATACCTGCACATCACACTACATTACTACGAGCACTGCCTGAGGGACAAACCGTGTCAGGCGAAATTGAAACGTATTCTATGTACCACGGCAGATGTTTTTCTAGTCTCTGGCATCATGTTTTTTGTTATTTAACATCAGAAATGAATGTTACTGGCTCCCCTTGAACATTTTAACATTTCTTACTATCTCACATGCCTGTTTGTCGATGTTTTGTTCGTAAGATCGTCCTATAACATACCTGTACAACACGCTACATTACTACGAGCAATGCCTGAGGGACAAACCCGCTCTCAAGAAGAAGCTTGTTGGAGCAATTATTGGTAAGTTTCGATCGCTCATACACTCAACTCTCGTTATAGCAGACACCCTCGAGACCGTCATTTAGTGTCCGTAATAGCTAGAGTTCGAAATAGCGAGATGTGATGAAAATATCACATACAACGCACACTGCTATACTCTGGTAAGATTTTCCAGTTTTATTTAATTTGTAGTGCACATTTACTTCGACACGTAATCATAAAATATTGGTCAAAATAGTGTGCGAAATAGTAAACATTCCAAGACTGCAGAGTAATTATGTCATTCAGTACGTCAGTCCAAATTGTCCGTTTGAACGAGAGAAGAAATATAAAAATTTTAGCTTGGGATTGCATGAAGTGCTCTGTAATGGCGGAAGTTGCTTCCGTGCATTTCTTTGTAGTTTCGGTCGGGGGTGTAGCTTCTGTCCGTAATACCGGGGTGTCTGCAACGCGAAAGTTCACTGTATTAACCATTACGGTCGAATCTCCCCTGACAGTCCGCTCCCTGCATCTGCCATCTCTGCTCAATGGCCAACTTATTCTTTCCCTCGGTAGGCCGAGATGAAGAGGATAACTCAGCTGTAAACGAGATGCTTTATGATTTCATAACGTTACGTCTATTTTTTTACTTTGTCTTGATTCCTTGTTAAGAAGTGAACGTGTCATAGATTTTCGCTAGCTTTCAAATGTATGAGTAATTATAGACTTTGAATGGATATTTGGGAGCACCATCAAAGGACCAGGAATTATTGGCTGGATTTAGCGCGATCTTTAAAGGCTCATTCAGTGTTACTTTGGTACTCAACTAAGTTTAATTGCTTACCTTTCTTATAAAGGCAAACTAGTTTATATATGTAATAGGACTACATACAGCCCAATTTGAAAATAATTGCTAGTCAGAGGGATTTTTTGAATTCAATTATTTCAAAATTGGACTAGGATCAGTAGGATGTTAAATATATTTCGTAGGAACTGTCCAGACTACTTGTTAATTTAGACACTCTCCAATTAAAAAATGTGCGCGCTTCTAATCTTTAGGATTTTGGGCAACAATATAATAGCTTTAGTGACAGCCACGGACATCAGTCTCATATTTGCTTTCAACAGGTGCACAAAAGGATGTCCACCCAGCCGGCTGGTGAGTGTTTGTGCGTGAGCTATAACGGTACTGTAGGTTTGCTGCAATCTTTTTCACCTCCTCATACGCTAGCTACTGCGAGCCTTGTTAAGGTAAACATAGATTTAGTGGAAATTCGACAAATAATAGTACACTTACCTTTTCCAAACATCAGATATGTTCATTGAATTACTGTTCTCAACGTTTAATACAGTCAAGTTAAAGCCAGTTAAAAGTAAGCATAACAATTCCAAGAATCTAAGTTCTCTAGAGACAGTCTGACATGCGAAGTGTTCAACGAACTATTTACCTTTCCAAATATCAGATTTGTACATTGAACTAATGTTATATGCGTTTAATACAGTCAAATTAAAGCCAGTTAAAAGTAAGCGTAACAATATTCCGTGAATTCAATTCTCTGCGGACAGTCTGCCGGCGAAGTTTTCAACTAATTTAACTTAATTATGGTGCGGAAAGGTTGTTTTGTCTTTGTTCAGGTGTTTGTCCAAGGGGTACATGGAGTACCTGTCCAACTCTGATGACACGCCCTGGACTCCAGATCTTGCTTATTACTGTTCTGTGATTGGTCGACTCGTGGACAGTATCCTTTTGCTTGGAATTTAGAACTGTGGACTTAAGTGTGTCCACTCTCTCTATGTAACTGTATCAGTAGTCAAAGCTAAAAAAAACTGCCAGACAGTTTGCATGATAAGCGGTGTATTGTTCCATAGCTTCCTTTAAAATAGTCGCGCACACGGGTTTCGCATGACTTACCAAACGAGTTCAAAGGTCACTTCTCAAACTCATTATAATTCATCAAGTTTGAACAAAGGAAATCATGACCTTGAGAGCGTTTGGATATCTGATCTTAATTAGCATAGATTTTTACGATTATATTTCTCCATTTTCTTCATAGTTTTCTTGTCGATTGAGAAGATATATCAAACACTCAAGACAGTGTTTGACCACATTTCCAAACACCTCGAAGTTCGTCAAAAATACTCCGCTGCGCGTCGTATTTTCAACTCTCTTCTCGGTGTTTGGAGACGTGTTCAAACGCGGTCTTTCGTGTTTGATATATTGCATCCATGGATTGTGATTGGTGGATTACGATCGATTTTGTTTTCTATTTTCGTCAGGGTTTTCAGCTTCGGAGTTCGCGTATGTACTTTATTTGTAAGGGACAAATGTTATTTATCTTGACTTTTGTTAGCTGTTTCTGGTAAAACTCCACCCCCATTTCCAGCTTGTGATTGGCGATTCAACGAGTTTCCAAACCCCGTTGCGCACGCGCTTCACGTGACTTGGGTTGAACTGATGGCGTTACCTGTCACAGGACAGGAAGTTGGAGATGCCTTGTTCGACGTCATCTTCAAAGGAAGCTACGTCACTCACAATACTAACATCCGAGCAAATATTGTGGAATGGATCAATGCTGTAGGATTAGTGTTGTCGTCACTTCCGGTAAACACTGACTTCCCTAACACAGCGGCCAAACCCAAACCTTGAACGTCACTTCCGGTTTTCATTGCTAAGAACTGTTGTATAAGTCTGAAGCATATTGTGCATGACATAAAGTCTTTTGCAAGACGATAAAACGGAATTCGAAAACGGCTACCAGACTTTTGGAATTTGACATTACGACGTTGTACATTCCTAACCCATTAGAACTCGGCTGTTAGAAATTCAGTGTACTGATATAGTAATTTTTAACCAAAGTAATCCACTAAATTGACGCTTCCGGGAGTGAAAATATGTTTTGTAGGTTTTGACTTTTTGCAGTCGTACTCTTGATAAGTCCTCTTTAATTTGCTTTATCATTAATATGATAATTTTTAATGTTTATTTATTAGGAGCCATATTGGAGCATCGTGTATGATAAAATCTGTATGGCCCTCTTTAAAGAGCTCTCCGCAAGAGACATATCAACAACTCCCATGGCTCTCGAGGACTTGGGTAAAGCCGCTCCATTCCCCTACTCGTTTCTCGATTTTTCTACCAACGTAGCCATGCATTCAGAGACCAATGTGGATTATGTCTTAGCAGTCACGCATGCGCTCTGGCACCATGCAAGTATCGGTCAACTAAGCCAGGTTCCACAGTAAGTATTGTGTGTCTTAAGGGATATTTATTCATGGTAGGACACGTAGTTTGCTTTTATTTACTGTCGTTTGCTTGCGGTTAGCATTTATTTACTGCTGTTTGCTTGCGGTTAGCATTTATTTACTGCTGTTTGCTTGCGGCTAGCATTTATTTACTGCTGTTTGCTTGCGGTTACCATTTTAGGGGTGACCAACTGTGTCTAAGGCGACTAACTAACTAACTAAGGCGACTAACTGTGTCCCAACATGAATTATATTCCCATAATAAAGTAGATTTGTGTTATAGCGATCAGTGTTAATGATTATCTAGGATGAAAAACAGTTTATTGTCCAAAACAAGCTTAATGGTTCTCATTAAGTGGTCGTGGAGGTTTATGTCGATATTTCTGTTACTGGTTTGAATGCCAAGTATTAAGTTTTCAGTTTTAATTCCCCGGTCGCCGCCGTGTTCACTTTATGGTACTTTGTGGTGGGAGATTTATATATGAAGTCTGTGGAAGACGATTTTGTGTTAGAACCGTACATCAGTATTAAGCTAGAAATCGAATTCTCATTAGAAGCGATATCATAAGAAGTACTTGGGTATCTCTTAAGTTATGTAATGACTGCACAGGGACGTCACAGCTCTCCATCAAGTTTACAAAAACTCACATGGTGGTGAGTGGAAAATTTGAACGCCAAGAATAAAAAATGCCTTTCTCAGACAGTTAGGCAAACCTCTGACACGCTTTGTTCAATGTTCAACTTGTTCCCATCATAACTTGCTATGATGACTCGCTTTGATATTTTCTATCTTGTGGAATGGGAACACCAAATTAGTAAATGCTGTCCTGGTAATCCAAAGTAAATTGAACCCATTTCTGAATTTTGCTGCTGTCTCTTTTAAGGTTTATTCGTGACCGCGTGTCACAGCTGGTTACAAATGAAGCTCAGTTTCTTTACGTATGCCATTTGGTTGGACCATTCCTTCAACGGTTTTTCCAAGAAAGGCCAAGATGTCTTCAAGAGGTATTGCAAACGTTGTTCGTGTGAGCATGACCTTTTCTCTATTTCAGGCTTCACAGAAGTAATTTCTGTTTTCTTTCCTTTTTGTAGATCGTCGTGGCGTTGTACCATCTACTGGAGAAGATCAACCGAGAAGTTCAACACATTCACCACATTGATACAATCTGTGACTTCTTGTATCCTTTCCTTCGATTTGGGGAATTGATTTCTTTCATACAGTGTTGATCCCCAATCTAGACGCCGATATTTGTAGCCAGAATAGCAGTGAACGTCTGCGATTTTATTCTTGAACCATATAGTATGATCTTTACTACCGTGTTGTCATTTGATTTAGTATAAACAGGGTTTCTTGTATAAACAGTTTCGGCTGTGTAAACTACCGGTCGGACTTTTGGATTCCATGTCTCTGTAGGCGCCTACTTTTAGTGTCGTAAAATGAAGACGGTTGCCCGTTTTTCTCTTCAACAATGACGGTGATTCACGCGTGCACCGTCTTTTTCGTACTAGTAGCGCCGGTGGCAGGGCTGAAAGAGAAGGGTTCCCATATGTGGAGGGGCGGGGATGCTGTTGGTCTCTATCAAGAGTGTAATTCTCACTTAGCGTGTTAAGGACTGTTTTAGAATTGTGTCATTTAGGGGTCAAATATAGTCTAAGCTACATCCAAATTGGTCTTCTTGAGGGATTTGGTTCATTTTTTTTACGACCGCTGCTTCCGCGCTTCCGCCCCCTTTTACCTTGTGGTAAAATATACACGTCGATTTACCCCGGGATTTACACCATTTGTACTTAAAGTTCTTTAATGTTCCCTCAGATACCATATCAAGTACATGTTTATAGGAGATGTCATTAAAGATGAAGTCCTGAAGATCATTCCTCAGTTACGCCAGTCGCTTCAGGTCCGGCTGAGATTTATGACACAGAATGTGAAGAGAGATGACAATGCATAGTCTGCTATCACTTACCAATACCACACTAAAATGCTAAAAGTACTGAAACCTCTTCTCCTTCTCCTTCTCCTCCACTCCTCCAAAAAAACTTGCCCTTCAGATCTTAAACGCAATTCTCATTCCGGACGCAAGCCATGGGAATATATTTAGTTTTAGTTCTAAAGGAAGATGTACTGTCTTAAGTTTTGTAGCCTACCTCTTTTTGTATTTTATGTTGTTTGTTTTGGACGCAAATGTGATATTTATAGAGTTTGTTTTGTATTTCATATCAAATTTAGACCGTTGTGGCGAGTTTTATCCCCCTTGAAAGAATAAAACCAACCATTGTTAAACTGCAAAATTCTTTCCGAAAATAAGCCAATTGAACAAAAATACTACTTCACAGGATTAAGCGAAGTGCCTTCTAATTGAGAGACGAACGAAAGGAAGAAGGAGAGAGAGGAGAGAAACGAGATTGCCTCAGAACAGTGCACCTTGGACTGAGATGAACCGTTGTAAATAGATAGTAAATTTAATTTATTTGTTATAAGGATTTGAGGTATCCACGTCTCTAAGGCCGTGACTTCCAATCGAAAGTAAAATTATCAGAGCCAGTCACACTGGCCGTAAAAACCGAGCAGACGAAAGCATATAAATAGGTCCTTAATCCGTATATGTGCCTGGTGTTCTTTGTTTTTTTTAAGGAGTCGGTAGCTCCGGCGACCCGAAGGGCCGCCAAGCGGAGCCCCATACTCATATAAGAAAGAAAAGGAAACCCCTGAGTTGATTTTCTCATGGCTATCATGGCTAGCGGTATTGCTTGTGGACGCGTACGCACGACGGCGACGGAGTCGCGCAACATGGCGGCCATACTCCAAATAATAGGTTGACAGACATTTAGCCTTGGTTTACCGTGTACTTCTTTGATATTGGACATTCATGTTATGATCAATTGACACCTGTCAAAAGGTCTGAGCGCGAAAAGGCCTAGGTACGAGTTTAACGCTACAGTGTTACGCAGGACTTGTAAGTAGCGGTTTTCCTTGTAAGGTCGCGTAAGAGATGACAACAGGAGACAAAGGTAAACTATTCAGTCTTTTAGTTCCTTTATTCACTCTTTCCCTACTCAGCAAGATTGTGTGCTCCCTGTGGTTTGTTAAAAACTTCCAGGACACAGGGTCGGATAGCAGCTCACGAATGGCTTGATGCTCTTTGAAAAAACAATAGAACAAACAACAGAAACAACACCCTTGACCCCAAAACAATAACAGCTGCTAACAAGCAAAAGAATTACAAGCTTGCGAGAGCTGCTACACTTCTGATGCTTGCACTGAATGCCACTGGCTTGCGATATGCGCAGTGAATGCTCACTTGC